TGAGTCAAAATCAATTTGGTGGCAATGAACAACAATAAGAAGCAAATGTGAGGCGTAAGAATGAGTAGTTCAGATGGCTGCCATGTTTAGACTGAGTGAGCTGAAGATGTTGCCAATAATACAAGTAGGTGCAACCAAAAGGGTAACGATGCTCAGAGGAAGAGAAGACCACTTTGATTTGGGACATGTTTAACTCAAGGTTCTCCCGGGTGGCCCAGGTGGCAGTTGGAAAAATGAACTGAGTGTGATAGAAACAGTACTTTGAGAGTTAGTTGCTTGGAAGTGAAGTTGAAATTCTCATCAAAGAAGAGCATGGGATCAGTTAAATGTATTTTGCAATTTCTAGAGCAACCACTAGTAAAGGATTTAAAGACATAAAATTGATGGAAAGGGAAAAAAAAGTGGAATCATATAAAATGCTCATTTAAGACCGGAGAATGCAGAAAAAGAGAAAAAACAAACAAGAAACAAAGAAGGCAACAAATAGGAAATAGTTACCAGCATATAGATATCATACCAACTATACCAATAACCACTTTAAATGCAAATGGTCTAGATATATCAATTCAAAGACAGAGACTATCAGAGTGGATACAAAAACAAAACCCAAGTATATATTTTCTACTATAAACATTTTTTAAATATAACGAAGAACTTGCAGAGGAAAAAAGAAGGGTATCCCATGTCCAAGCCACAAGGCTATGCAGGCAGAACAAGGGTTCAGATCAGGAAACGAGGCAGAGATTGGGGGAACGAGAAGAGGGAAGTCCAAGGAGTTGACTGTTATGGTGCCAGGCTAGGAAAGCAAGCCAGTAAGGTGTGGTTAACCATGCCAAGGTTGCTAAAGACAGAGAATAGCAACTGAATTAAAGACTAGATTACTGGAAACCCTTTAAACCATGGGAGTGTTTTGGAACTTGAGGGGAGGGATATTTTTGCTTTTTACTATGATTAGAAAGTTCTACTGGAATTTAGTGGGTGGAGGCCCAAGATACTAAACATGTTGCAATGTCCAGTATACTCTTGCACAACAATGAATAGTCCGACATCCTTCCCAACTTCAAACTGTGCTGCTGGGGAGTCATGTGAGTGAAAACCCTGTTTATAGACTCTCCAAGCCGAGAACCTCACAGCTTTAGATCTTGTATTAAGGTTGACACATAAGACTAACCACCACACAAGTAAAGCACAATTTTTTGACAGACTGAGTTTTCTGCAAAGTACCTACTGGGTAAACCAAGAGAAGATTATATCAAGAGTGGTTCACCATTTTCGCTGAACTATTAGGTATATCTATGAAGCAGGGAGTGTACCCAAGACTATGTATAGGGTTGGTAGACAATGGTCCTAGAAGTGTATTTGTATGATCTGAATTCCCAGGTATATAGTAGAGCTGACAAGGGACAAGCTTGTAGTCACTTCTTGGTCACAGCCAGCTACCCAGAGGGACCAAGTAGTTGAACCTCTGGGCTCGGGACCATAGTTGCAGGGGACAGCAAGCTCAATTGACATAACATACTACACAAAACATTGTTCC